GTGATAAAGGACTGGTAGAAGAAGAATTTTTCCACAATGATGTGAGTTGAACACTCGACCACTATACTTTATTTTTTTTGAATTAAGTATTGTTTTCGTGACTACCAGTAAATCAGTAGTATGAGATGTTTTCACCCAATTTCGTTTAAAGTGATAAAGGACTGGTAGAAGAAGAATTTTTCCACAATGATGTGAGTTGAACACTCGACCACTATACTTTTTTTTTTGAATTAAATATTGTTTTCGTGACTACAAGTAGATCAGTAGCATGAGATGTATTCACCCAATTTCGTTTAAGCTGATGAAGGACTGGTTGAAGAAGAATTTTCCCACAATGATATGAGAACAACTTTTGGGAAAGCAAGGCTATGTGAAATTGAATGGAAACGTCATCCCAACTCATAAGATTGTGGGAAAATTGTTCTTCTATTAGTCCTTCCTCACCATAAACGAAATCGGGTGAATACATCTCAGACGAAATCTAACCGAGAGGTTTTGTAGAATGCGACTACCTGAACGCTGTGGTAGCAACAAACGATCGCAGAGTGACGAGAATCATCCATCGTCTTCTTTCGGAATTGATAATCACGAATATTTATACAAAATGATTGTCCCCATATAATTACAAGAAATTATATTAAATTTGAGTGTCATTCTTTTTGGTGTTTTTGGCGAATGTGTGTGTATGTGACATGTCATGAAGGGCTGGTTAATCCTCTTGAATGTTTAGCAACTTGACATTGTTGTGGGGACGAGATCCACGTTTGATGAGAGCTAAATCCGGCTGTACGGGATCCGAGAGACCCTATGCACTCAATCAGCCTGAGCGTCAAAGTACAGCAGAGCCACAACAATTCACGGCCATAGGCTGGAGTCTGTTTATGAATTGGCCGAATAAAAAAATATTTCTATTGTCTGAATTATTTTATTTTTTCAATGTATTTTAATTTTTTACAATTCCATTTATTTACGTATTGTCAACTTTTTTTCACTCTTCACTGTCAATTGATACCGAATCAGATAGCGCCAATTGAAGGCATCAGAGGCCTTGCAGACACGCGTTTGGTTCCACCTGGTTGTCATTTGCATTCGCTCTACCGGCCGGCTGTCGGCTTGCCAACGGCGTTGATGGGGGCTCCATTTGAGTGCATCCGAGGCGGAGCACCCTCCTGGTCACGGTCAAATGCATTGGTTGGTACAGCAGGCATTATAGCCACGATGAGAACCAAATGTCTGCCGGTTTGATTGAGAAGACG